AACTGGTGTTGTCATGGTCTCCTCCGACAGGGGGCGCTATCTCACCTGATTACTACAATAAAAACTTTATGTATTTTGTCTAACTCGTGATGACCGAGGAAGAAAATACGTGTTATGCTTGTGAAATATGGAAACGTAGCATGTATATAGTTATTAAAACGTGTGTGTGTGTATTGCAATGCTAGATTTATAGCTTCATAACTGTAAATGAACAAAGTAAATTTCTTACAACTTTTGCAAGGTTCTTCCGCAAAATGACAGCAATCAATATATATATCAGTTTTTTCTGGCATAAACTGTTAATATCATAACTCTTACTAACTTAACCGATGTTGAGAAACTGCAAGACCAGCTTTTTAAAAATGTTTTTCCATTATGATTCAATATGTTGTATATAACTCAGGCGATTCCAAAAAAATTTCGGGAGGATAGAAAACGTTACCTTTCATAGACAGAAGACGATGCAGCCGTCAGTAATATTGACGCAAATATGAAGCTCAATTTTACATCCATATTGACGGTGTACAGCAGACACAATAATGTTCTGGCGTTTTCAGCGAGTTAATATTAATTGGGGCTCACTTAGGGGTTATGGGTATCAAATTCTTACTCAACATTGCAAACCTTCTGAATGGTTTTTAAGATCTCTGCTTGAAGGTATCATTTGATTCGTATACAATACCTGAATGTTGATTTTAATGTGAAAATTAATCTGACGCTTTCAAAATAGTTACAGAAATTGTCCATCAGGTATCCTGTTGTACCCCGGGCGACCTTCCCGCTTTTTTGTTTGTTTATACATGTGTTTATTTTGTTCCTGTGTGGATCGAGGTTTCAACCCTTGCGTGAGAAAAAAGCCATCTGACGTATTTATCAAGTACATTACAGTTGATACGCGAAGAACATTTGATTGGTTGAAAAGTTGGCGGGAAATTTGAACTACAATTCTTTCATGACGTGAGAGTAAGCTGGCTTGAAATATGATATGGCTTTCATTTTTTTAAGTATCCACCAAACGGTTCAAAACGTCAAGTTTTAAATTATGTTTTATATATATTCTAGTCACTTTTCTACATACTATGTTCGAACAACACTGTCCCAATGTATAGCGACATTCATAGAGTAAAAATGCCCAAATTTTTTACGAAAACAGTTACTAGACTCTAGAGGGTTGATTTTGGGGTACCACCCAAAAAATAAAGAACTTATCTTGGCGCTTGTTCCTGCAGTTTTAAATGCCTAAAGTATGAAATACTGATTCAAATGTGCTAATGTGGGGCAGTATGTGTAAATATCATACAGATTACCTTATTCAGAATATCAGTTTTGCCACCGTGAAATTGCCTTTAAGTACTTAGATTACTACAGTGCTTGACAAATAAGTACAGACAACAGATAGTCAATCAAGTTCCTTTATTACTTTACAAACCCTTTAAAACATGCTGGTTACTGTATAGAAAAGAAGCAGCCTGATACAACATTTTTTCTGGTTCTGTGTTTTCAGTACAAGGAGCTGTAGGTAACATTGTAGCATCAAGTTTAGCCATGCACCATTCAATGTAAACTTGGATGGGGCGGAAGGTTTACCAAACATCTTGAAGCTATCAATGAAACGGCAATCTGAGAATGATGTACCAAATTGTCTTGTCATTTCCAGCGGAGGTCTCACAGTCAAATTCACACTGTGTTCAAGTGTCAAATTCCAGGACTAACTACTATAGTCCAAAATTTCCGAGTACATCTTTATAAAGCCTTAATTCCAGAAACAGACCACCTCTGGAACAGTTCTCGAGTCTTTTTTCTGGGACAACAAAATGTCCGATACAATAAAAATGTCCCACATTCCAGGACACATACCTGCTACAATGTGAAGCATGCAGACATACAGCTACTTGCATGAACATAAATGCCTCCGCCCCTGAGGCGTCGCCAAAAAAATTCATAGTGCAAAAGAAATGCTGACAATGCATTAAACTATTCCCTTGTTTCTGAATACATTCCCCTGTCTTCTGTAATATATAGTATCCCAGACACAGGTGACTGGTATATCATGGTACAAGTGAAATCTATACATCTACAATGCCAGCTTTCCTTATGTACTGTTATTAAAGTATATGCGAAGCTCAGAATTCAACATATACACGATCACATGTAAGCGAGGTAATGGTATGTCACAAGTCTTTCCTTGATACCTATACAATGTAATTCCTGATGAAAAAATTCCTACTTGTACGTTTAACAAAGCTGTATTCTGTAGACATTTCTGTAAAGTGCAACTTCTTTTTGTTTTCCTGTCAATTTTTTTTTGGGTGTGTTAAGTACAGAAAGCTATCTATCAACATTTTGGACGTTTAATACAAAAAAGTGCAAGTTGTTTGCCTTGCAGACTACACAACATACTGACCACACTTTGTAAATACAGTTGTACTGTTACAACATTTTCACCTGCAACACAACAGTTAAAATAGTCGGAAACAAGCATAGAATAGAGTTGCAAAAATGTTAGAAATCTTTTTCAGTGGGTACAAAACATTTTAAGCTGCCGAAAAGGTAGTGTTTGTAGTCTAAAATATGAGACTAAACGCTTAATAACAAGAACAAGCAAGTTTTCATTTTTTTTAGTGTTCCATAGTACTGGTAATTTCTGTGCCTGTGATTTAACTGATGAGAAATCAAGTAATGGTCTCAGGAGTTCTTTAGAAAGTTCAGGCATACATGTACTTTGTGTTTACAGTTAAAACATTTGTTTCAGCACAAAAGATTTATTTCAGCTGCAGCTTTTGACCAGTCAACCTGGTCTTCTTCAATAGACTGACCCAAGAAGGAGACCAGAATGACTGGTCGAAAGCTCTAGGTGAGAAAAATCTTTTGTGTTGGAACAGAAGTTTTACTTTAAACATGTAACTACCGACACAGATGAAATTTCATGGTGTATACTTTTATGATATATTCTGCAATACTGTGTTAAACTTTTAGAGAATATCTGATGTGACTATAATTATCATGTTTTTTCTCAAGAAGATTTTGTCGACAATGAATTACAGTTACTGCACTTATCAATTGTTAAGATGCAATAGGGGTACATGAATTTACATTGATCATATTCATTTTTAATGAAAAAGCAATTTTATTTTCCTGTCATGTTTGAGACTTTATTCGAATGGTGGACCCAAGTTTTAACTTCTGAGACCATCCTTAACCAATTTTATTATCAGTTTTCATATGAAATTGTTTCATTTTGACTTACAGAGCACAGAAAATGCACCAGTATTAGGAGAAAAGTGCAAGAAAAAAGGAAGGCCGAGAATGTAGCTTTAAATAATACAAGACATCACTGCCTAAATGCAACTGTATTTCCTGCTTTTGAAAGTATGAAAATGAAAACACAAGGCTTACATGACAAAGTGCCTCAAGTTGTGACAAATACAACTGTTACTACATGTAACATTATCTATTACATCTAGCACTTGGAAATTATTGAAACACATACACATTAGACAAGACAGACTACTAGTAATATCCTTGTTCCTAGTCCCTTGCCAAGCTGAAAGGGGCAGCAGAAAAATTGTACTTATTAAAAGGAATCGGTCAATAAAAACTAAATCCAAGTCAAAAATTAAACTCAAAATTAGGCAAATAGATTCAGTTAGACAATCATGAAAAAAATTACACCTATGAAATAATGTAGGATCAATATCAAATGATACAATGTTACAATACGACTCGTGATTATAAGTTATAAATGTTATACAAAAACAAGTAGCTGTTTTATATAATTAAGCAAATTTTTAATACAGGTCTATCACAAAGCAACATAAATTTGCAGTTCCATCTGAATACAATAGGAGTCTCTTCTAATAATGATAGCTGCATATTGCAGCTGGGCAAGGGATTCTTAATACTTGACATTTACATCACAAGTTACTGCTTAACACACCATGTACATGACATTGTATGTACTGTTCAGCATTATAAAAACACATCTCAATTAGATACTTGTTGTATCACAATATTTACTTCATATTCTACCAACGGTATAAACTCTATACAAGGATTCAAAAGGGTATTTCCTCCAACCCTTGTTGTAAAATCCTACATCGTATACAAAAAAATTGGTAAAATCGGCTGAAGTCAGCATTGAAGTTGGCATTCAACATGTTTTGTTTAGTGGTGTATTTCTACCACAGGGAAATGTGTATAGTCGTGCCAACAACATGCTGACAAAAGCTGACTTTTAAACTTGAAAATCTCCATCAATCCTTCCAAGAGTTCTACAATAAGCCTACAGCCTTTACAAAATGTTGTTTGTGAAGCGAGACAGTTTTTCGTTTCCATTCTAAGTGCTCGAAAGGGCAGGCTTTCGTCTTTCATTTCGTCCAGTTATCAAGTGCAGTTGAGCGGCACATGATATTGAGTGCAGCGCACACGTGCGTCCAAGTGTTCCATGTGCTAATGTCACAAGTGCGCTCTCTGTGGGTTCAAGTGGCGTAAGTGGTCACATGTCTACATCTAGACCACCACGTTTTTCCCCAACTGCGAGCAGCTGACGTATACAGAACGACACTGAACGACACGACGGCACTGTACGCTCGAGTGTTCTGCTTAAGTTAAGGCTTTTAAACTGTCATTAAATTCCATCGTTTTTCATGAATTCTGACACAAGGCATTCCTGGCTTATTGTAAAAACTGGACGTATTGAAGACCATTCAACAAGTGCTCCGACTCCTCTCCCTTCTGGAAATTCTTTCATTTCGTCACCACTTTGACATCTCTCGAATAGGAAAGGACACACTTTCGTGTACATGTACATACACACTTTTTCAAAGGCAAGGTCTACAAACATTTCTGTACCATTCGAGTTGATGTCAAGCTAAACCAGTCAACCTTGCCTTACCAAACCATTGGACCACAGTACACTTATTGTACACAAGGAAGTATAAAAATACACATCTATATACAGAGATGAGAGCTACATTTCTGTAGGTTGACCAACTGCTATTACTGTATCTTTCTCCAAAACTTTCTCCGTGTTTGGGTTGCCTTCTTTCTTTCTGGAGTTTAGCAGTGATCGTTTTCAGGTACCAAAATAAAACTACAAGACAATTCCAAAACAACTTCTGGAAATTGCTGTCATAATCAATCATTAGGAAAAAATGACAGGAAAAATATAATACAACTGTGTCAAAAATCTGATCACCTGATTCAGATAAAACTTAGTTCAAACTCTCCATGAGTTTAAAAGGCCACAACATTCTGGTAAAGTTGTTAACTGCCTTTGAAGCTAGATGTTGAATATCTAGCATTATTCACAATCGTTATCTTCAACTCTTTCCTTGTGTGGCTCAAATGAAATCAAAGGATATCATAAACGACATAAATATTTACAACTCAAAATTCTCTTCTGATTTTTTATTGTTTTTTTTCAATTATTTGGTTGTTGTTTTTCCAGAGAAGCTTTCGCGTTCTCTATCAATTCCATCGCAATTAAAGATACTGCCTGTTGGGAACAGACCAAAAAACACCATCGCACCAAAGTTTCCACCTACGAGATTAACCACTGCTCACCGAATCCCGTAGCACAATATACCATAGACGAGATTGATAGTTAGCAATACAAGGTCAGTAACCAACAAGTTAACACCTTCACAGTTGATATTGCTTATCAGATCCAGGTCTAGACCCTTCAAATCCCTCTACAACAGGCAGTACGACCCAAGCTGACCCCACCCATAACGGACAGGGTGGTACAGCCTAATTACTCAATCTGGCTTACGCCATGCTCAATGTAGGGGTGCATTGGATGTGGGCCAAGCCAGCACCATGCCGCTGCTAAACCCCTGTGAGCCAAGTGGTACAGCCCACTCACCGAGCCCACCACCATAGCTTAGGCCACGGCAATGGCCCGTTTCAAAATGGAACAAGAGGGAACAACATTGTGCCGATTCCGCTCACATCCAATTGGACAAATACAGACTGTACTTGTCGCCCTTGTGCTCCACCAGGTGTTCTTGGAGCTGTTCGACCTTGGGGAATCTCGCGCCGCAGATCGGACACGGGAGCTGCACTCGCTTCCACGGGCGCTGGCGCGGGCGGTCCTCCCCGCTGGACAGGATGGTCTCTGCCGACAAGCTGGCAATGTCTATCCCGTCCGCCGTCAGCTTCTGGTTCACCTCCCACTTGAACTCCGTGGTGTACTTGCGACGCTTTCGGGTCAACTCCGTCGACAGCGACGAGACTTCGTCGGAGCTGCCGCCCGGCGACGCGCGGTTCTTTGGCACTTTGCCCTCCGAGCCATCCTTGGACGAATCCGAATCGGACAAGTTACCGTTCATGAACCTGGCTGGGCTGCCCAGGGCTTTGGAATGTTCCTTGTTTCCCAACAACGACGGGAAACCCTCCGTGACGCCGAATACTTCGTCGAGTTCGGCGTTGGCGCGTAGATGCATCATCTTCTCCGCGTACGTGCGGCACTGCATCCCCCGTCCTCGTCGACCACGGCCTCTCCCTCTCTTCCCGGCCCATGGTACGAACCCGGGCCCCCTCCATCCCGGTGGTGCTTCCTTCTCAACTGCCCCCCTCATCATGTCAGGGGGGTAGTTGTAGGGGACCTCTTCGATGGTGGCTGCCCCGTTGGGATGCGGCGTCAGCACCCCAGCACGCGAGGCCAGGAATGCGGAGAAAGGCATCATGCCCGTCGGCGGCAAGTTCGGGAAAGCGGCCATGCCGTTCTGCCTGTCTGCGTACTCTTGATAACCGGGGGGCATGCCGTTAGGGTTGAACATGGGGCCGCCGTTCATGTGAGGGGGGCCCCCGTTCATGTGAGGGGGGGCGTACCCACCCGGGGGGGAATGTTGTCGCATGTCTTCCATCTTGTTCAGACCAACTCCGTTTGGGATGGCCACGTTGGGCTGTGCCTTCTCCACAACTTTCTGCTCCTGTTTGATTTTCATGCCTTCGTCGGGGGATCTCGGGGCCTCGAGGGGGTTCACGGCTTCTTTACCGACTTTAGGATGATCTTCTTCTTCCCTCTTCTTGGGCACGGACGTATCACACTTTTCAGCCATGCAGTTTTTCTCACGACTGTAAGTGTCCTTTTCTGACTTGACACTGGTGGCGCCGTCATCGAGATCAAACGAACTCTGTCGCGAGAGGTTTTCGCTCGTACTGCTGTGCCTACTACGGGCGTCCCAGTCCAGGCAGATTCGCTTTTTGGGATGTACAGAGCTCTCCTCGCTCTCTTGTCTTTTTGCTTTCCATCCCCACTTCCCCTTGGGGGGCTGGACTTCCTGTGCCTTTTCGCTGTCTGTGTTGTCCTTGTCAGGCACGTCCAGACTTGTTTGGCGGACAATCTTGACTTTATTGCGCTCACTGGTCCCTGGAACAACCTTTTTCTCCTGGGCATCGTTCTTTATCTCTTCTGCCTCGTCTCCTCTCTCCTTTTCTTTATCTGACATGGGAGGTGTTGGGACTGAGTTGTGGTACTGTGCAGCAATCTTCTCTGCCATCCCCATGTTTTTCCAATCTTGGCTGTTTCTGTCCATCGTCATTTTCAAGATGGGACCTTTCTCCGTGTTGAAGGAGCTTGGCGCACTCCAAACTCGGACCTCTTCGGGGCTGCTTCTTCCATCGACCATTTCCCCGCTTCGTTTCGGCCTCACGCGCAAGTCGAGGATGCCTTCCGGCCCGTCCGCCCTCCCCTGTAGGATGTCGTGGGCTGAGAAGTGGCTGTCGGCCTCTCGGATGCGAAGCCCAGGTGGGACCAGGTGCGGCATGCCGTGGAATGAATGCACGCCGCCCTGCTCCATCCCAGGAATGTGGATCATGGTGATTTTGTTCTTCTTGCCACCTTGGTTGTAGACTTCATGGATATCGACCGGCAGGGGGGACTTCTTGCCCTCCTCGACCCCCTGGTCCTTTCCTGCGCCGTGATACTTTTGTTCCAGCCGCAGTTTTTCCAGAACTTCCAGGGAATCCACCTTCTCCTGGAACCCTTCTGAAGCTTTGGCCAAGACGTGAGGTTGGATGCGAATCTCCGGGTGGTGGGGGGTGGGGAGGGAGGGGCTGCCGGATTTACTGCAATCACAACCGTGAGCCGCGGCCTCCATGGTGCCCGTCCCGTACCCAGCGTGCGGGAAGTGCCCGATGGGGAGGTTGCTGCCAAACACGGGACGGATGATGTACGAGCAAGCGCTCACGACGTCCACCATCTGAAGGTAGCTGGCAGTGAGGATGATCTCGACGATACTGCACGCCGAGACTCGGAGTTTCGCCGAGTACATGAAGTCCAGCAGGTCCTGAAACGCCCCGGCTGAAATGTCCTGAACGATGATGGTGTGGCGGTCGTTATCAATGTCCAGCATGGCGTGGAAGTAGCCGCTGGACGCGGACAGGACGGCGCGGTGAGCGGGAAACTTGCGTCCGTGGATCATCACGGTGATGTCGCAGAACTTCCCGTTGAGGCGCTGCTCGTTGAGGTGGTGTAGGAGAGCTGTACCCTGATTGGGCAGCTCAATGATGTACTCCTTGTATGATGTCATTTTTGTCTGCAGAGGAAAACAAAGACAAGGGTTACACATAACATATAACACATACTAGATATCCTAAACTTAATACACACACAATCACAATGTGCTGTTTCTCATGTGGCATTGGGTGGGCCAAAAATGCTTTCATACTCAAATATGTCCAATTTTTATTTGCTTCAGTAGGGGAAAACGATGTGATTTCTAAACAAGGGCGATTGAAATAGAACATAATAGTATTAGTAAAATTCAAATTAGTTTGAACTGTCAACTTGGCCTTCCTGTTTCCAGTCCGGAAATCATAAAACATCAACAAGAAAGTGTTTATAGGGGACGGAAGTCACTCAGGCAAAACATGAGACATATGAATAAAGAAGAATGGATACACGAGCACTACATGTACATTGTATTCATACATGAAGCCAACCAGAAGAGCCTTTAACCAGAATCTGACACAGAGCTGATCAAAACATGTTCACAATACTGCAACTCTTGATATTTCCTAGGCTTTATGTGACTTCCACCATTAGTGGGTACAACAATGACTACTTGATCGCAAGAACACAACACTAAATGGAAACTCCTTGTAGAAAAGAATCTAGTAGAAAAGGCAATTAATCGTCTTGTAGAAAAGAATCTAGTAGAAAAGGCAATTAATGACTGCATCCATTCTAGACTCTGTTCTGAAATTTGAGACACATACATACATATCCGGGCTTTTATTACTGGTTTCCTTCCTGGAAATAATCACACCCTTGCACTCTTAAACAGTTTCCAAAAGACAGCACTCAAAATAGAAACAGGAGAACATACTGTGTACATCCTGTATCACGACAAACATTGAAGACGATACCCGCACAAACCTACATGTACCATAATTCTGATGTAACAGGTAAAGGCTGGTTTCAGGTAGTATCAGAAATGAAACATGGCTATTATTTATTAGAGCTATAATGGCTTGATAGTTTCACTCTTTACTTGATCATGATAGCCCTACATTCTTTATAAAGTCTGAGTGTGGGGTTTTAGTGATAGCCCCACACTTCTTAGTGATAGTCCCACAGCTTTTAGTGATAGTCTCACAACTTTCAGTGGGGCCTAGGAAAAAAAGCATTTCTTTGACATTTAAAGGTGGTCTTAAAAGGCTGAGGATGCAGCTTGGCTTGCAAGTGGGTTAATCCAACCAAACTTAACGACTTCCTATCGATATCTGAGAATACCAATTGTTTTGTAACTTTCCCCAACATTTGAATGAAGGAAATGTAACTGTTATAGGTGTAACAGTTAGAGTTATAGGTGCTACCAACTGACCCGGCCGACGGGTCTAGACCTTTTAGCCGATTCTGTAGGAGCGTCAGGTTTGTGAGATGGCGCCCGGGTTTTGCATGGGTTCGATCCCCGGCTTTGGGCCAGGAGTTTCTTTCTGTTTCTACTCCCCTAATTCTTACAGAAATGATATAGCTACATGTAGTAGATATTCTGCCAACATGTGTTCCTGGTATTCCCAACAGTGGTTTGTCCACTGGCAGATGCATATGTCTGGATGGAAAATTACCGGTGTAACGTTTTCTGACAGGTGGGCTTTTCAGTGGGTGCTGTAAGGATTCCCAGAAACCCAGATTGAATACATTACATTCCTCCACCCAATATCTGCTTAGAGATTTGGAATTGAAGGCACACTAATTTAATCAATAATTGGTTCTTGGATTTGCCTATATCATTTCCTTTCCTATTTACAAAAAAAAAGAGAAAAATCCAGGAATTAACTCCAAAATGGTCATAATTTGACGGTTAAAGAGTCTGTGTCTTCCTAGTTGTTATAGTTTTTCCATCAGTTTATGTAGTGGTTTGATTGAAAGTTTAAACTTCATTGTTTGACGTACAAACCAGCCTGACACAATTTGTTGACTTCATGGCTCTGTTTTGTAACATTTCTGGCTATTAGGCATTGCCTAGCCCTGTTTTTTAATACGTGTTGCTTCATTTTTTTTTTCTATAAAAATCCGAGAACCAATTAACTGAAGTGGTGTGGCCTTAGCGAAAGCCTCAAAGACTGCACATGCAGTGTTCGAAATACCTGTCTGCAGTCTGCAATCTGCAGATAGATTTTCAAGATTGCAGAAGAAAAATTTATACAATCTGCAATTTTGCAGCAGGAAAAATTGGCACTTGGGATTTGACGCTTTTGGCCCCAAGGACAGACAACACTTAAGCTCCTGTTTTGAAACAACAGGAGCTTCTTCACTAATTTGCATCAACATTGTCTTGACTTGTTTATCTTTTGTTTCCTTTTGGACTTCCAAAAATTTGTCTTCACTAATTTGCATATGAATCAATAGTTCATGCTTATAAACCTGCAAGATTGTAGTATGGAGGCTTGTGTATTTGCAGAAAGTATTTCCAAATTGCAGAACAAAATTTTTACTCTTCTGCAATATTGCAGAGCACTGAAAAAAAGTATTTCGACCACTGCACATGTAACCAGCTGATGCTTGGTGACTGGTGTGTGGGTTGGAGTTAAAAGGCCGGGTGTAGGCGGAAGTATACCGGCATCAGGTTGAGACCAGGTGGGAGCTCAGAGATAATGGAAGATCTACTTATAGCAATGATCACACAGGAAGCACGGACAGATGGAGCGCACATGTCAGGTTACGTACTGCAGATTTGAAAATTGTGTGACCTACATATGCATCCGTAGAGCGTAAACGGCCAGTTTAATTCTACGTAGAACATAGACAGACCGCCAAAAAGCAGTTACTCAAGCAACTGGATATGATTTTGAAAACGTCATAGACAGACCGTTCTAATATTTTTGCGTACAGCGTATTTGGCGTTTTAATTCTATGTGTTGTAGCCACTTGGAATTTATCGTAAAGCGTAATCGAGAGGTTTCCGAATTCAGTGTAGAGCGTTGTCGGGATCCCCCTTGCAGGCCCTCCTTAAGGGCTCGAAATACTGGGTGCATGTGCACCTTAATTAAGTGCACTCAAATTTGGAGCTGTGCACCCAATTTTTTTCTGTGGGTGCACCAGTACTAGTGCACCTAAATTTTTTCATAGGTTAGGCCACAGCAAGTATATTTTATGGATGACATCCTCCGCAGAGTCCAAATCTAATGCGAGCAGGCGAAAAAAAACAAGGCGGGCCGAAAAAAAAACAAGGTTTCTACATTTTAAAATCTTGACTCAATCATAGTATACGTACAAATGGTTTTGATTCAGTGGGAACATCACATATACACAGTCAGCATCACATATCACTGTATCAAAGTAAGAAACAAAACATTAAATCAGAGCCTTTTCTTGTCTCCTCTCTTCATACGCATAGTTATCTGCCATCCACCTTCCAGCATGGTAACAGACATCTTTGCCCATTTTCGGCATTTAATTTAAAGGCAAGTTTTGAAATAAAATTGTCAACAAGTGAGCTAGCAAGGGAATATATCAGGAGACAGTTTGGCCCAATTTCTTACTTTCGGGGACAAGGAATAAATCTACAAGATTTAACTTACTAGGATTGATGATGTCTGAACTATAATAACCTCCAGACAACAATCTTTCAAAAGACCCGTTAAAAGATAGCTAAAATGTATGTAATATTCATGTCATCTAAAATCACCACAATTGAGGCATATAAATGTACCTATTGAGAATTATTCCATTCTTGTTTTTCTAAGGAAAGTTGGCTATTTCTAAATTTCTGGCTACAATTGACAGAAAAATATCAAAACACGGACTGGAATATCATAAAAACACAAAAAGAAATTTGTACAATACTTTGAGAAATCATGATGAAAAAAAAACATTCTAACCATCCAAATTAACTGGCAATTTTTAAAATTGCATTACATTTGATCCAATCATACTGAAATAGCAAAATTACTAAAGATGTGTACCATACATTTTGCTAAATTTTCAACTTAGTAGATTTAAAAAATTTGCCACAGGAAAAGGATGTGAGATGAAGATCACACCAAACAAAACACTCCATCGACAGAAGCCTTGAAAAGAAACGTTCCTACCTTGTCTACAGGGACTTTCGCTAACTGTCCCAGGCAGTGAGGGATTTCTACCGTCCCCCCACACCCTGGGGGGTTCTCCCCGGCCCCTGTCATCGTTCCCCGCCGCGTCTAGCCGCGTTTAGAACCCACCGAGAGAGCGAGAGATCATACCACACACTGAGCTGGGCTGTTAGAGAAACCCAATGACATCATCCCTGGCACAAAGCCTCCCTACGATGATGTCATCCTTAGTCTAATTTTAGCAACCTGATCAATCCCCGCCAGCCAATCAGAGACCAGAACTGACAGGCAGTGGGGGAACTGACTAATGTCGTTTTTTTTTTTCATGGCCAACGCTGTGGGCGGGTTCAAACATCTAGACCTATACGAGTCATACGGGAAATATGGAAATGAGCTGGCTGTTTCGGTTAAATTAGTGTGGCCACGTCTGAACAGTTTTTCAGTTTCTATTGTCTACTGTTGGCTTTAACCTAACAAGGTCATGATTTTATTTGCTTCAATATAGTAATTTAATTTCCAGTACAAAAAATATAGATATTAGAAAGACTGATAACACATGAGATAAGGGCATAGTAAATATGATAACAAGCTTGACTGGTTATGAATGTGATGAATATACAAGAGCACCTGGTCAGGCCAAGGATAGTGTATTCAAACCCACAGAAAATGTAGGTAAAATTCAAACCCTGTCTGGAAATTGGACCTGTGCTGTTTTAAATGTATTGACACAGTTGCTACATGTATGGTGTAAAAAAGGTTGCTACAATTTAATTTTTGGCACTTGTGAATTGTGGCAAATGTTTGCATGGTAAAATAATTACATTTGTGTGTGATTTAAATTTCCATGTCATATCATTTTCTGATGTCATAAGTGGCTACCTGGGCAACATCGTTTTTTTTTTAAATGGGTAACATTTTTTTGCTATGTACCTGTGAAGCATCACAATTGTGTGACATCATACCAATGTGACATCACTACTGTCCTATTTGCATATTCACC